GTGGGGAATGTCAGACAGGCTTATCCAGGCCAAGCGGTAGCAGCCTTTGCTCCTGGTGTCACCCCTTCCACCTCTAACACCCTCGCACCCTGCCTTGCTGCCACCCTGCTGCAATCTATGGAAGAAGCTGGAGACCACAGGACCAACTGGTCCTCAGCACAAACCGGGGTCTGGGCTGCACACAGGGGAGCGGTCCAGGAGCAAAAGATGTGTGGTGACCCTGCTGGATGCTCATCAAATACAGTCACTTCCTTCCAAAAAGATAACGCAAGATTATTACATAGGCTAGCCCGATTCCTGCTAATGACAAGAGTCCCTGAGTCATTTCCTGCAAGTGAGTTTTTATGGCAACAATGTGCAAATACCCCCTGGTCTGTACCTGTGATTACTTAGCAGTCCTGTATGTGTGTGGGGGGTGTGGGGGGCAGGGAGTGGAAAAAACCCTGGACAAGATTGGGGATCAGAGGCTCATTGTTCCTGGTTTCCCAGGTCCACTGTTCATGTAAGAGACCCTCTGTTCACAGCCTGGACCAGGAGGTCTTTTCCTCCAGCCTTTCCTACCATCCATCCACACTCTGTGCTCTCTGGCCTTCACCCTTCCCCCACATGCCCCACACTCCTCCTTTCCCATTACAGAGCAACACACTCTTCCTAGAACCTCTCCCTCTGTTTGCACTCCCTCTAGCTGTTTTCTCAGCTCTATACCGCAAACTCCTATTCATCTGCCAAGCCCCACATCAAACCTCCTCTTCCAGGAAGCATTCCCAGACTACCCCTGTCAGAGTGTCATTTGCTTTTCTATGCTCCTGCAGACCAGTATATATACCTTTCTCATAGCTCTTAAGGTATCAGTGATAATAAGGGCTAAATGTTTACTGATCACTTATCAGAATGCTAGACACCCTTCTACACTTTACAAACATTACCTTATTTGACCCTCTTGGTAACTCCATGAAGTAGCTACTCTTATTATCCTCATTTTACAGATAATGTTACTGAGGACTAGAGATGTTAAGGAACTTGCCCAAGGCCACAGGGCTATTAGATACCTAGACGAGTGCCTGGCACGTACTAGCTGCTCATGAATGATTAAATAAGCGAATATAGAAATAATTGTACATCTGTCTTTATAGAAAGCTCAAGTAAAACCACAGCTTATTTATCTTCCAAACTATCCTCCCTGTCAAATGCCTCGTAAGGCACAGGGCACTGGAAATACCTGCTAGTTAGCAAATAAAAGAATATAAGAGCAAACCAGTAAACAGAGTCCAAATCCCAGTAATGCCACCGTCGTCAGCTTTCTGGACCCCTGCTTGTGGCCTGTTAAATGCAGACACTGCACATAACATCTGTTACACTAAGTTCCTTCTAGCATTGAAGATTTATATGTAAAAATAACCCGAGTCCACAATTTTGTGATGATAGCATTTCCCATACCTAATAACACCTTGCAGAGTCTTCTGGGTTGTTTTCCTCAGTAGCACTACTCAGTTGAGTGTGACATTGGAGCCAGGTGTTACCCCAATACAGAGCCAGTATCAATCCTGAAAGAGTTCATTTGGCTTGATCCTCAGTTTACCCTCATTCTTATCCAAACAGAGTCACTCCCAGGGACAGAGTTATTAATAGTCAGTGCAACAAAACCCTCATAAATAATCAGCAATAATAAATAATACTCCCAAGTGAGATTTTGCAACTGGCACCTGAGCCATTGCTCTAGAGAACTTTCAGGCCGCCCTCCTTATCCCCTGGCACCTCCACTAGAGCCCTTCTTCTCCGAATAGATCCTGGTCCCCAATCTCTCACCACTCTCACACTCTTGTGTGTATACACACACATACTCACTGGTGGCATGGAGGCAGGAGCATGGTGCTCAGCCCGTGGCAGGAGCTGATAAACGCTTGTAAAATGCTTAAGCCCAGACCCACGCCAGGTGATGCTCAGATGCATCCACATCAGCACAAAGGTTGGGGTTCTGGCTGAATACATGTATTCCTGCTCTGCCTATGGCTAACCAGGAGGTTGGCTTTATGTCTGGTACCTGACAAACCTGTGTCATCTGGCTTAGCATTAACAATCAGCCACATGCATGCAAAGGCCAGCATTTCTTCCTTGACTCATGCTCAGCATAAACCATTACACCAAAGGATGCCTGAACATGGTACGTGAGCAAGACAGTGTCTATTCACGTTGGAAGAGGTGAGGACTCCTGCCCTGGGTTTTATTTGACTTACAACAAGGAGTACAAGCACTGGACTCATGGAGCTGGCCATTAACCACTCACACATGAATGTGATATGCAGGGGGCCTATACCATGGCCAGAATACAAATCAACAGTCGCTGTAGAGGACAACCGTTTTTTATGGTTTTTCTTTTCCTTTCTTTCTTTCTTTCTTTTTTTTTTCTTGAGATAGTGTCTCGCTCTGTCATCCAGGCTAGAGTGCAGAGGCGTGATCTCAGCTCACTGCAACCTCTGCCTCCTGGATTCAGGTGATTCTCCTGCCTTAACCTCCCAAATAGCTGGGACTACAGGCACCCACCACCACACCTGGCTAATTTTTTTGTATTTTTAGTAGAGATGGGTTTCATCATGTTGGCCAGACTGGTCTTGAACTCCTGACCTCAAGTGGTCCACCTGCCTCAGCGTGAGCCATCACAGCCAGCCAAGGGCACCTGTTGTTTATCTGTCTCACACTCCCACATCCTTGAAGGACCTGCTTCTCCCTCACATCAGTCATGTGATGGTTGAAAGAGCTACCAATCACAGTAACCAGTTCCCCTGGCTTTGGCTATCATAAATCCAGAGGTGGGCCAATCAGAATCCTTCCCTGAGATTTTTTAATATTGAGCTGGAAGAGAAAGATTCCAGCCTTTTAGGATGAAGCTATAAAGATGTGAATGAGAGGCTTTGGACATGGAGAAAAATCTGTTTGCAGGAGGGAAGCATGGAGCCAACAGAGAGCAAAGCATCCAAGCATCCAAGTTAAGGTCCAGACTTAAAGTGTCTGCACCTGTTAATACGAGTCAATGATTTCCCTGTTCTTTCTGGCTATTTTGAGCTGGGTTTCTGAAAAGTGCAGCTCAAGAAGCCTAACATAGTCACAGTCCTTACTTACAATGCATTCTCAAATGCATCTTCCACTCCTCAGCATTCAGGAGGTTTTGATGAGGTGGGTTACCTCACATGGGAAATGTCTTTGTTTCTCCTCACAAGAAAGGTATAAAAATTCCTGGGCAAGAAGCACCTTACCCAGCATCCCTAACAAAAGACGATTTCTTTCCCTTTGTATCTCAAAGGCCAGTGGTGACCTGCCAACCACAAGATGTGATGAATGTTCTATTTCAAGCTACCAAAGCTTGTAAAATAGAGGCTGGCCACACCGGCTAGGCAAGTGGCTAGTAAATTTTGGAAGAAGGGTCTCTTCTTGGTGGGCAGCCCTCCATTGCATCCCTCTACTGGCTGGCTCCCTATGACAATCTGTCCTTAGCTTACCAAGAGGGTCCCTCAGCAGCCACACATGTTGGGTATATGGGATAGTGAAGTTGGGCCACCTGACTTTTATGAGACCTTTTAAAAAAAGAAAACCACCATATACAATTACTGAGGGGGTGGCACTTTGAAAGCTAAAAGCTTCCCCTCCTTTAACTGTGAAGAGCCACCCAGTGAACTCTGAACCATGAAGTCATAACAACAAGGAAAGGAGTCACTGGGTGGGAGTGGCACCCAGGACACTGGTCTCACCCTCTCCTCCCCCTTCCTTTTCCCTACCTCCCCCATCTCCTCTGCCTAGCTGGAGCTTGGCAGGTTATGGGCAGGCACTGCCTGGATGCCTAGTCTGCTCTGGGCTGAGGCGACTGGTCTATTTCAACCTGATGGAATGCTCTTCCTACGTCCCTCACTGTCAGTGTGCCCCAGGCTTGCAGGAGTTTGGCAGCTGTCTCCCCTGGGGCAGTGGAAAGCAGCGTATCCCATGGTGGACTCAACAGCTTCTCATCACCAAAACAAAAACACAACAGTCCCGATTGCCATGGAGAGTTCAATCCTCTTGTGCTGGGATTGGCACTGACTGGAATTCCTAGGGTTCTAGCTGAGCTATCTCCTGTGAGGTCTAAATACAGCACATTTGATTTTAACCTAAACACACAGCCTGGACCAGTGCCCAGGGCTGATAGCCCCCAACAGCACCAGGGAAGTCAGCTGAGAAGCCTGGACTCCCAGCTGCCCATCTGGTGGTGGGCATTTCAGGAATGTCAGAGAAAGGCTGTGATAGTGAGTTCACCGTGCTGTCTGTGGCCAAATGAAGAGGGATGCAATCAGTGTGCAGGCTTACCTATGAATGTGGTCCTAGGTAGAGAAATGCATCCTGGGGAAAGGAGTGGCAGGTGGAGAAGGCAGGGGAATCAGGAGGAAGAGAAAGAGACAGGAAGGAAGAGGCAGTAAGGACCTATACCTATTTCTTAGCTAATTAATTAAAAACCAGGGGATCTTTCTTAAATGTTCATACCCAGGGGAACACAACTCTCTTATGCCTCTCCCAGACACTTAGGGCTTAAGTCCTAGGATCAGACGGACCAAGGTTGCCCTCTAGTTGTGTGACCTTGGGAACAACTGACTTCTCAATGTCCACGTCCCTAAAATGGTCCAAAGATCTCCTGCAGCTGTTCACTGAAATCATGGACATAAAGTACCTTGTACCCAGAAGCTGCTCAATAAATAGCAGCTACTAGAAGTAGTAGCAGTGGCAGCAGGAATAGTAGAAGCAGGGGTGCTAGCAAGCATGGGCTTCCCTCCCTTGGAGAGGGCATGAGAAGAGGGAACCTCCCAGCCAGGAAAAGCTGATGCGTACAGACAAAGGAACCCCTCCCCACAGCAAACCAATGCAACATTCACACACACACCTACTAAGAACCTCAGAGTGGCAAAATGGCGACAGCTTCCTAACCTCCCACGTCAAACCCACACGCCCTGCAGAGGTAAGACTCGGGGGATTCTCCTTACCCTGGTGTTCGTGCACGACTTCCCTCGCTTATACTCTTTGTGGGAACCACGCTTATCCAGTTTGTACCACAGGGCTTTGGCTTTCCAGGTGGTCACCTTAGACTTGAGCTTGGAATAAAAGTTTCTGTGGTCCAGAGGGTCTAGGTCCAGCTGTCGTGTGAGGATGTTGAAGGCCTGGAGGGTACCTTTGCACGTGGACGCCTGGACAAAGTTCTCAAAAACCTGCCCCGCCTGGGCCTGCTTCTCATCCTCGTTCTCCCCCATGGTTCAGGAGTCGTGTGCACCAGTGCTGTGGCGAGGACAGAGACGAACAGCATGAAGTACCTGGAGAAACGTCACACCTGCCAAAGTAGGGGGAGGCAGAGGTCAGCTTTGGACAATGAGGGTAGGGTGGGGGACGGGTACTGAGAAGTAAAAATACAATTTCTTTAAGACACTCAAGTGCTACCCATAATATTTAGTGTTCGATCCTAAACAGAAACATTTAGAAAAGATACAGAATTGCACCTTTCAGCCTGTCAATGTGGCATTGCAGGTAACCTCTCCCCTATGCCCCGCCCCTCTTGCTGGCTGAAAAGTGCCACAGATTGCACAAGGCTATGCCCTGGCTAATGCCAACAGTACTGGTCAATCTTGCTCTGAGCCAGATGGTTCTGCAAATAGCGATTAGGAAAAGGGAAGTAACCCAGCAAAGTACGCTAGATCTAGCACCACTGAAAGTCTATCACTCTTGGTGCTGCAAATCGGTTGGCTGATAGGAATATAACCCAGCCACATACACGAATGCCCAGACAGAAGACAATCCAGAAAACATCTCTCTAGAGTACATGACCACCCACCTCTCCCTAGACATCCAGCTTTGAAGTCTGTCTTCATGAGTTACCAGAGAGCAAGTCTCTCCCGTATATACATGACAACCGTCTCTTCTCAAAACTTCTGCTCCTGGAATTGGCTGGAAGCACATCATCCACCTCAGTCAGACACATAGACAGGCAGAGACACGTGGACCTCCTCCTCCCCATGTGCAAAGGGGGCCTGTACTTTGCAAGGCTGGGCTGTGAGCTATTTGGAACAAGTGCTTCGGCTGATGGAAGGGAAAAATGTGATGGGTGCTCATTCACATCCCAAAAATAGCTTGCCTGGGCTTTGGCCATGGTCCTTTCTGCACCATTCTAACCTCAGACATTTCTTAGGAAAGTCATTTAAGTTTCAAAGGAACAAAAATAAAGTAGAGCTGATTTTCCAAAGCACTAGCTGTTTTTCCAGAATCCAAAGCTGGTGCAAGAAGACAAATGTGGAGGAGCCGGGGCTGACACAGCTGTCAGGAGGGCTGTAGGGGTCTCTGAGCAAGAGGGCACAGCGGACCGAGCGACATGGCCTGGCAAGGGGCAGTGAGCAACACACAGAGCACAGACCTCACGGCAGCTCTGCGCTCCCCAGATAGGGAGGGTTCATCGTTGACATGTTCCAGTTATGGGATGGTTTTATAATACCAAAAGCAGAGAATGGTGTTTATCTTCCTCCTTAATCTCTTACTTATTCACTCAATTATTGGTGAGGTAGCAAGGGTTGGGCACCACTCAAGGAGCTGGGAATATGTAGGCTCAGGCTCCGCCTACAGGGGAAGACAGGTTACAAGACAACAGGCAAGCACTTGTGGAAATGAACCAAGGGCATGGAAGCCCAGAGCAGACGGTCTCCAGCAGAGCCTCGAGGAGGCCAGAGGGGACGTAAGAGGGAAGTGTCAAGAAAGCTTCAATCTTAGGAATGAGAGGTACTTTACCAGAAGACTGGGGAGTGGACATTCCAGGCAATGGAAACGCCACATGGGGGTGTGAGTGTGGAAACAGTGGGACAGTGATGAGATGACAGCAAGTTCAAGGTTCAGGAATCCTGAGGAGTTGTGAGGGGATGTCCAGCACACATGGTGGCAGGTGTCCCCTCCAGGACAAGGAAGGGTCCTGGCCTCTCCAGTGGGCTGTGAGAGCAGGAGCCAGAGCAGCAGGGGGAAACAGTGCTGGGAAGATGAGAGGGTGGCAGTGGACTGGAGGAGGAGGCTGGAGGACAGAAGGCAACTAAGGGGCTGTCCAGGCAGCAATGAGGAGAGAAGCTGGAAGAGGAGGAGGAAGAATAGCGCATGAAAGAAGCACAGCAGCTCACTGGGCAACATCTGCCAGGAGGAGCCTGCTGGGCAGGTGAGGTCTCACACTGGAGGCCCAGACTTGGGGGTGAGGGGGTCCCAGCAACTCTGTAGAACCCTACCCTCCCTTCCCTCTTTCCCTGAGAGCTTCTGAGGTGCCTGGCACTGTGCTTGCCTGAAGGGAGACTAGCACTCATTCCCTGCTCAGGCCTGACCAGCTTCCCTGCCCCAGCCAGGCTGGGTCCTCCATGAGGCCTTACCCAGTGACCCTGGTCTATGACACTCAACAACTTCAGTAGACTGGGCAAGCGGGCTCTGTGCCCTGCCTGGCGCGACGAGTGTGGATTCCTTCACAGATGCTCTCCGGGCTCTGTGAGAGTCCACTCTGCTCACTTGGGCATGACTCACATAAACACTGCCTCCTCTCCACTTTCCCCATGTACAATACCTGCCACCCAGAGAGCATAAACAGAAGGCGGGACTCATTTGCTTTGCAGAGCGTATTAACATTCTCAGTCTTTATCTATCTTTGGAACCACTTCTGTGCCCAGCATTGAACAAAGGCTGCAGTGGCGGGCTGACAAGGTGACTTGAACTCACCTTCTACCCTGCAATCTTTTCTGAGGACAGGCAAGCAGTACAAGAGAAAACTATAAGGCTGCAGAGCTATCGCCTCACACAAGCCACTTCTGATTCTCAGTTGCCCCTACTGTAACAGACAAATAATCATCTCATCCTTGCAGGGTTGCTGTGAAGGACAAGAAACATGGATGATGGCAGAGCCAGGCCCTGGGAAGCACTTAGTAGATGTGGTAACACACACTGCATCCACCACAGGAGGCAGATTTGTACCTGGGGAAATGTGCCAGGTTAGAAAATAGGTTTGTAAATCAGTTCTCCAAGTGGCCAGCTATTCCCTGTCTAAAATTATGAGCAGTTTAGAGGCACCAAGCCAGACAATCATTTACAAACTGGAAGAAGCTGTCTACTCTGCACCCCGTAGCCACCCCTCCTCCCCCAGAAGATGAACGAACAACTTCGTTGTCAGGTTGGAGAAAGAGCTAAAGGTGGTGCTGAGGGCTGGATAGGCGTGGGAGCTCCAGAAACCAGCCCTTATCTAGAGTGAGATAAGGGAAGGTGGAGGGAGATGGCTCCGCAAGAAGATAAGTAGCCCAGCTGCCCGTACCAGGCTCAGACTTGCCACCCTAGATCTAAACAGCCCAGTCTCACCCTTTATAGTTGGTTTTCCAAGTTAAGTCAAAGACCTTAAACATGACTCTAACACCCATGGTGGGTAGCTTTCCTCAAGGATAGCATCAGAGTATTTAGAGTCAGGGCAACCTGAGTGTGACTTTGGTCTCAAGCACTTAATAGCTGTGTGGCCCTAGGCAAGTTATCTCATCCATCTTGGCCTCAGTTTTCTCATCTGTGAAATAGGGATAATACAGGCTTCCCTGAGTATCCATGAGAGGTTGGTTTCAGGGTCCCATGCAGATACCAAAATCCATAGATGCTCAAGTCCCTTATATAAAATGATGTAGTGTTTGCATACAACTTACACACATTCTCTTGTGTACTTTAGATCATCCCTAGATTACTTATAATACCTAATACGATATAAGTGCTATGTAAATAGTTGTTACATCGCATGTTTAGGAAATAATGACTGTACATATTAAGTACAGATGAAATCATTTTCTTTTTTCCTGAATATTTCAACCCATAGTTGGTTGCATCTGTGATGTGAGACGGATGGGTATGAAGGGCCGCCTGTTCTCCCCACTCATAGGGCTCTAAGGAATCGGTGAGATCACCTATGCAGTAACCAATACTCATTTGATTCGTCAAATGGCCCAGACATCATCACATCAAAAGGAAGGGCAAAAGAAACATCATTCATGACTGCTGAGACTAGCTTTCTGGAAGGAGTTATATACAGGTTGAGTATCCCTTATCCAAAATGCTTGGGACCAGAAGTGTTTTGGATTTCTATTTTCTTTCTTTCTTTTTAGAATATGTCCATCATACTTACTTGGCTGAGTATCCCAAATCCCAAAAATCTAAAATCCGGAAGATCCAATTATCACTTCCTTAGAGTATCATGTCAGCACTCAAAAAGCTTCACATTTTGGAGCACTGCAGATTTCAGTTTAGGTATATTCAACACGTACACTTTTTTTTTTTTTTTTTGAGATGGAGTCTCGCACTGTCGCCCAGGCTGGAGTGCAGTAGCGCAATCTTGGCTCACTGCAACCTCTGCCTCCCGGGTTCAAGCGATTCTTCTGTCTCAGCCTCCCGAGCAACTGGGACTATCACCACATATGGCTACTTTTTGTATTTTAAGTAGAGACAGGGTTTTACCATATTGGCCAGACTGGTCTCGAAGTCCTGACCTCGTGATCTGTCTGCCTCAGCCTCCCAAAGTGCTGGGATTATAGGCATGAGCCACTGTGCCCAGCCTCAACCTGTATACTTTAAAACTAGAGGACAAGGGCCTTCCACTTAGAAGATCTGACTTCAAACTCACCTCCTCTCTGTGTAGACTTGGAGAAATCATTTATCTTTTGGGTTTTGGTTTCCCATGTGTAACTAGGGAACCTCACAGAAAGTAGTGGTAACGAACTGAAAACACACAGGATTCAGGATAGTGTTGGAAATGAACTGGGAAGGGCTGACCTAGCACTCAGAAGATACCAGGTAAACAAGAAACTAATTCTTCTTAGTCATTCCCTATAGAGATAAGTTCCTCTTCTCAGAACTCAGTGAGTCTGAGCTTCAAACCTTTTGTCTAGAGAACTAGGGTGCAAAGCCTTTGGTGGCTATCCTTCCCCTCACCCCAAAAGAAGGTACTCAAGATTTCTTTTTTAGCCAGAGGATCCTGGGTAACCAGCTCTTATTAAAGTTTTCCTTGTTAACCACCACCCAGTTGTTGCCCTTTTGAAGTTTGATATGCAATAGAAATAAAACCAACTAACCAGAAATATGAAGGTTTCTGTATTTCTGGGAAGAAACAAGATGTGTTGCTTTAAGTTTCCAATAATAGACTTGAAGCAATTTGGTTTTTGCCAAGCGGAGTCTCTTATTTGTGGTTTGTCTACTCCCCTGCCTATGTAACTTCATGAGTCACAAAGCAATTTCCTTTTCCTGCCTCTAGCTGCTAAAAATTAAAATTAAGGGCCCTGGATTGCAGGCAACAGCACT